TTGACACTCTGTCCCTCCGTGAACCCACTTGGTATATGGACACCGGTGCATCCCATCACATTGCCTCTGACCCAGGTACTATTTCTAATGTTAATTCTCAATCATTATATTCACCATTATATATCACTGTTGGTAATGGATCTAAAGTTAGCACTACGGCTGTTCGTAGCCATACCCTCCCCTACCACCCCTTCCCTGTCCCTTAACAATATCCTTATCTCCTCACATCACTCACAACCTTATCTCTGTTCGCCAACTCACTCGCGATAATAACTCTATAGTTGAATTTGACGCTAATGGTTTTTATGTGAAGGATCGTCGGACGGGCACCGTGATGCATCGATCCAATGATATGGGACCCCTCTACCCCCTAGGACGCCCAGCTGCCGCTCAAGCCAATGTCGCTGCTGTCGATCTTCAGACCTGGCACCGGCGCCTAGGCCATCCGAGTCAAACTGTCCTCAGCAATATTTCTTCTCTTCCTTTTTTTAAAAGTTATCAACATTCTTTATGTCATGCATGTCAATTGGGAAAGCATGTGCGCCTCCCATTTTATTCTTCTAGTCGTGTTTCAATGTTTCCGTTTCAACTTTTACATACAGATTTATGGCACTCCCCTGTTCCAAGTATTACAGGTTTTAAATTTTATATGTTACTGTTGGATGATTTCTCTCATTATCTTTGGGTTTTTCCTTTAAGACATAAAAGTGATGCTTTTAATCATTTAGCCTCCTTTGTAGCATATGTCAAAAATCATTTTAACAAAACAATAAAAGCAGTTCAATGTGACAATGGAACAAAATACCGTAATTCTCCACTTAAAAATATTTTTGACTCCTAAGGTATCCTCTTTCGTTTCTCGTGTCCTCACACGAGTCAGCAGAACGGCCGAGCTGAGCGCACCATTCGTACCTTTAACAACTCGGTCCGTTCACTCCTCTTCCAAGCCCAACTTCCACCCACCTTCTGGGTTGAGGCCCTTCACATGACCGCCCATATTTTTAACATCCTTCCCACCACCACCTTACAAAACAAGACCCCCCATGCCACCCTTTTCAATTCCCCACCCTCCTACGGCCACCTTCGCGTCTTCGGTTGCTTGTGTTACCCCAATATCTCTGCCACCGCCCCTCACAAGCTAGCCCCACGCTCCGCTCGTTGCATTTTTCTCGGCTATCCCTCTAACCAACGTGGCTTCCGCAGCTTCGATCTTGACACCCACAAAATCATTATCTCCCGCCACGTCGTGTTCGATGAATCCTGCTTCCCATATGGTCACCCCGTCTCCCCCCAAGATCTTAACTTTCTTGACACCACAAACGACGACCCACCGCCACCCTACCTCTATTCCCAGCCCAACCCGCCCAACAACACCTTCCCCGTCCCCCCTTCCCGTTCCCAGGCCCAACCCTTNCGCCCACCCCATGCAAACCCACTCCAAGGCCGGTGTTTTCTGCCCAAAACAAATCTTGGACTTCCACACCACTACATCCATCTCCCCCTTACCCCCAACTTACCGTACCGCTCTGAAAGATCCAAACTGGCATGCTGCTATGTGCGATGAATATAATACTTTGTTAAAGAATGATACATGGGAATTAGTACCCCCCTCCCCCACTCAAAACATAATCACCGGTAAATGGCTCTTTAGACACAAATTTGGCCCATCCGGTGAGTTATCTTGGTATAAGGCCCGATAGGTGGTCCGCGGCTTCAATCAGCGTTTTGGCGTCGACTATAGCGAAACCTTCAGCCCCGTCATCAAGCCTGCCATAGTCCGAATCGTCCTTAGCCTCGCGTTGTCTCAAGGATGGCCTATCCATGAGCTAGATGTCAAGAATGCCTTCCTCCATGGACAGGAAGAAGGCGGTAGTTTTTATACTTTATTTACTTTTATATACTTAAGTATGTTTTTTTATGTTTATAAGCTATAGTATAAGTTCTTTGTTTATATAAGTTATATTTATAAGTTTTTATATTTATTTAGTTATAAGTTTTTCTTATAAGTTTTATAAGTTCTTATCATATGTGTAGTAATTAGTTTGTTTTATTTAGTGACAACGTGTTTGCATACTAAATTCGTTTTAAAAAGTACAACATTTCTCCGTGGGATCGACCCTTACTTGCCCTAGCTATAGTTTTTGTTTGACTATATCTTGGGGTTAGCTAAGGATATTTTATAAATTTTTAATTTGTTTTGGACCGCACGACAAGTCTTCATAAAATTTTGGTGCCGTTGCCGGGGAAATTGTTTTGTAAAAAAAAAAATCAGTTTCGTATGCATATGTATTCTTGTGAGCATGTTGTAAATACTTTAACTTTACTTGTATTTTTTAACTTTCTTGTAACTTTGAGTATATATGTGAATTATTAGAGTCAGAACTAACTATTTTTAACTTGTATGCATCATTGTATGATCTATATTCAGCCTGAATATACAAGTATGCATGAATTTGTGCCTAATTTTGTAAAAATCTGAACTCACTGATTTTTCTCAAAATGTGCACTTTTAGCTTTTTTTTTTTCATGCTGTTTTTGCCTCTTAGAATGCTCTTTTGCTAAAACTATGCACTATCATTGATATATCTATCTTAAGGACAATTTTTAGATGCAATACATGATGTCCAGGGTCAAATTTGTGAGGTTTAAGTGCAGTTTTTCTGGAAAAAATCTGATTTGAAGCTGCTGTTTTTTTCTGCAGTTTTTCTTTTCTTTTTTATGCGATTCTTATGTTCCTAAGATGCCTTATTACTGAAATTTGTACTGCATTGGCTTGAATACAAGCATAGGAACTAATATGGAAGTACTAAGCTTGTTTTGTGACTTGTTTTCTTATCCATATTTGCTGATATTGGTCCTGAAAGTTAAAAAAAGGTTAAAAATCTGAATCTGGATTTTGGTCTTTGAGCTTAATTTTTCAAAAAGAATCTGATTTTTTTTCCTTAAATGCTTAATTAAAGAGCTTTCTTGGTATAAAAAAATGAATACAAAGTTGGAGCATGAGGGCTTGTTTGGTTTTCATTCTTTAAAGTGTTTTAAAGAAACACTGATACTGCATTGTTTTCAACTTTTGCAGCTTGTGTTTATGCGATTAAGAAGTGGTAGGGTAATTGGTGAAGAAGGCGAAAGTGAAACATGTAGTAATAGCGACCAGGTAAGTGAGGCTAGGCTGAACCCTCTTTTAATTTGGATAATCTTGTGGAACTGTTTGGGTCTGCACTTACCATATCTGAAATTACACCTGTGAGTGTATGCGTGCAAAACATAAGTGAATCTGATTTTAAAGAATCAACCGTTTATAATCAAGCTAGTTCTAAGATGGCAGCCCCTAACCGTACTCTTAGAGAATTAGCTGCACTTGACTTGACCATTCAACCTATTTCTATTACTTATGGTGAGTTGGAAAAATCCCTTAAACTTAATTCTGGATTTATCAATTTACTTCCTAAGTTTCATGGTCTTCCTAGAGAGGATCCTTTTAGGCACATATCTGAATTTATGATCACTTGTGGTGCAATGGTGCCTGAAGGAGTCTCTCCCGACCAAATCAGACTTAGAGCCTTTCCTTTTTCCCTTTCCAATAAGGCCTAAGATTGGCTTTACTATATGCCAGCTGGATCTTTCACAACGTGGAATGACCTTCATAAAGCTTTTCTTGAAATTTTTTTTCCGGCGTCTAGGATTGGGTTGATTAGGAAAGAGATTTGTGGGGTTAAACAATTGAATGTGGAGAACTTTTCTGAATATTGGGAGCGTTTTAATAAGCTTGTTTGTTCTTGTCCTCAACATCAAATAACCGAGCAGTTGTTAATCCAATATTTTTATGAAGGACTTTTGCCTACCGAGAGGGGCATTGTTGATGCCGCTAGCGGTGGTGCATTAGTGAACAAAACCCCTGCTCAAGCGAGGGAGCTTTTTAATACCATTGCTCAACATACCCAACAATTTGGAACTCGAGACACTGTCGTGAGGCCGGTTAGCGAGATAGGGAATTCATCTTCATTAGAATATAAGCTGTCTCCCTTAACTGATGCTTTTTCTAAACTTGTGGTGGGTAATGCAGGGAGTAGTAAGAGTAAACCTTGTGGAGTGTGTTGCTTGGAAGGTCATCGTCATCCCACTGATGCGTGTCCAACACTCCAAAATCCTGAAGTTAATGCTTTGTTTTTCAATAATAACAACCAAAAGAAGTATGATCCTTTTTCTAACACTTATAACGAGGGTTGGAGAGATCATCCAAATCTGCGTTATGGTCCTCCGAGGGGTAATAATCTGAATTTTTCTAATAATCCACCTCCCCAACAAGATAGGGCAACCCAGATGTTAGAACAAGTGCTTAAAAAGATGGATGATAAATTTACTTCGGTTGACATAAGTCTTAAGCAACTTTAGGAAAGACAAACAGCCTCTGAAACTCTAATTAGCAATATGCAAGCTCAAATGAACAATAGGCTGCCTTCCCAACCCTTTCCCAACCCTAAAGAGAACCTTAATGCTATAGAGTTAAGGAATAAAAAGGTACTCAAAGAACCTAAAAGCATTAGGGAAGAAGAAAAAGAGTTAGAAGTTGAACTTAGAAGTCCAAAACAGCCCTTAGAACCTGAAATACAGCCTCTGGACTCTGAAGAACAGCCATTAGAACCTGCAACCAGCATCTTAGATGAGGCTAATGAGGCTGAAAAATCTGAGGAAAAAGGAAAAACTGACCTTAGGGATAGAAATCCAGCCCTACCACACCTTAAGGCACCCTTCCCTAGCAAATTCCTTCAACCTAGAAAGCCTAAAGAAATTGATATTGCACTTCTTAATACTTTTAAGAACAAAAAATTGCTGCTAGGTACCCTCTATTTTGTGGTAAGAACTGTCAGGTACCCCTAATTTTTAAAATATACTCCCAGGTACCCCAAATTGTAAAAAAATATACCAAAAGGTCCATCAATTCTCCATCCATCCCTCCTTTCTCCGTTTAAGTGCACCACCATCATCATCATCCATCATCATCATCATTAATCATCATCATCATTCCAGCACCATCATCCCATCTTCTTCGTACATCCTCCTCTTCTTTTTTTTATTTTTCTTCTTTCTTCTTCTTCTCCTCCTCCTCCTCCCCCCCTTTCAACTTTCGATCTTCCAGACCCCGCCCCCACCACTCACCCTTATTTCATCTTCTTCTCCTTCTATTATTATTATTATTATTATTATTATTATTATTACCATTATTATTATTGTTGTTGTTGTTGTTGTTGTTATTATTATTATTATTATTATTATTATTATTATTATTTAGTTGTTGGGCAAGGTTCCCAACATTGCCCGACAATGTCATGGGATGACCCGGGGGCGCTCCGGTGTCCCGTTCGTAAAATTGACAGTTCCTACCCCACCTAACACCCCGGTAAACCCCCCACCCTGCCCTGACCCGAACACACCCCCCACCCCCTTCAATTGCACCCCACAAATTGATTTTGACTTTGGAGTCAAATTTTGACATCAAAATCAAAATCAATTTGTGGGGTGCAATTGAAGGGGGTGGGGGGGGGGGGTGTTCTGGTCGGGGCGGGGTGGGGGGGTATACCGAAGGGGGTTAGGGGGTAGGAACCGTCAATTTTACGAACGGGACACCGGGGTAGTAATTTTTTTGTTTTACTACTATATTTTTAACAAAAAAACACTAAAGCTGCCACCAAAAAATTGTATACTCCATTAATCTTTCAAAACCTCCATTAATGTAAAAACACAAAAAATTACTGTTTGGAACCCCTAATTTTGTACTTAGAACTGTCGGGCACCTTCATTTTTATAGTGAAACTATTAATTAATTTTTAATAAAAATAATAATAATGAATAATAATAATAGAAGAAGAAGAAAACATTACTTCATAATAATAATAATAATAATAATAATAATAAATAGTAGAGGTAGAAGAAAATTATACTTCGTAATAAATAATAATAATTAGTTTTAATATTAAAAAATTATTAATATTAGTTTTTAATATTAACAATAATGATTTAGAAGAAGAAAATAATACTTTGTAATAAATAATAATAATACGTAGTAATAATATAATAAAAATGATGGTTTTTTTGTTAACAAAAAATTATTAATATTAATTTTTAATATTAACAATAATAATTTAGAAGAAGAAAATAATACTTTGTAATAAATAATAATAATACGTAGTAATAATATAATAAGAATGATGGTTTTTTGTTAACAAAACTAATAAGAATGAGGGTACAATTTTTTGGTGGCAGCTTTAGTGTTTTTTTGTTAAAAATATGGTAGTAAAATAACTAAATAATAATAATAATAATAATAATAATAATAATAATAATAATAATAATAATAATAATAATAATAATAATAATAATAATAATAATAATAATAATAATAATAATAATAATAATAATAATAATAATAATAATAATAATAATAATAATAATAATTAGTTTTAATATTAAAAAATTATTAATATTAGTTTTTAATATTAACAATAATGATTTAGAAGAAGAAAATAATACTTTGTAATAAATAATAATAATACGTAGTAATAATATAATAAAAATGATGGTTTTTTTGTTAACAAAAAATTATTAATATTAATTTTTAATATTAACAATAATAATTTAGAAGAAGAAAATAATACTTTGTAATAAATAATAATAATACGTAGTAATAATATAATAAGAATGATGGTGTTTTGTTAACAAAACTAATAAGAATGAGGGTACAATTTTTTGGTGGCAGCTTTAGTGTTTTTTTGTTAAAAATATGGTAGTAAAATAACTAAATAATAATAATAATAATAATAATAATAATAATAATAATAATAATAATAATAATAATAATAATAATAATAATAATAATAATAATAATAATAATAATAATAATAATAATAATAATAATAATAATAATAATAATAATAATAATAATAATAATAATAATAATAATAATAATAATAATAATAATAATAATAATAAAAATAATAATAATA